CATGGCATCAGTCTTGATGGCTGATGCTATTTTATCTGTTATAATTAGTAAAGGCTCAGACTTACACTATGTCTGTTTCTCTTTGGTATAATATACCACTGGAGTGGTTGCTGGTTAAGGCTTTGTTCAGACTTTCACTGAAGATCAGTTCCTTGGCTGTGGATAGCTGACAATCTGAAATGTTTTATCACCTCTTCCAGGTGATAGGATTTTGATACAATGATCAAGCATGCCTTCTGCTTGTTACATTTGTTAGAGGATTAAATGTTACAGATAGATGCCTTTCCCGTCTTGAGGCTGAACCTCATTAAAATGGGAGGGTTTCACTGGGCAGTGTTAATCTCATCTGTTTGCAATAACTTGAGGTAGCTGTATATGAAACTGTTCATTACTAGGAAACTGCTGTTTATGCCTGTAATGCTTCATATGATTCCCATATTTTGTTTGATTATATGGTCTGAACAAAGGTTGCATGATGTACTTGCACGTCAGGGCTGGAAAACAGAGCTGTCCTTTGCTTTGTTAAGTCTCTGTTGATGAACTGCTCTTTAGAAGATGACTTTGGTAGGTTTTTTTTAGGGCTTCACATAGTCTGCCAGGTATTTTAAGAAGCTGTAGAACATAAATGCGTGCGGTTGTGTTTCTTGTCTCTGGCAGCTTCACTGATTTTAAAAGAACTTCACACATCTGACTAATAAACCAAGCTACAGTTTTGATCCTGTAAACACTTACATGTATACAGATCTTTGTGAAAGGAGTGATGCTGAAATCCAGTGAGAATGTTTCCTTCAGCAAACTTCTTATATAAACAGACTTATTGTCAAGACTGGAGCCTGCTGTATTAACATGAACTGGGTTGAGTTACAGTACAGGATGGGATTAGGGTGGTTTTGGTGGGCAGGACTACTGTGTTTAAGGAAGGTGCCCCAGGTTATTGCTTTTGCTGGCCAATGCTCACAATGCTCACATAACGTGATTCAGTCCTTTATTTTTAGCTACGTAATTACAGCCAACTGCTGAATAGAACATAGATTAGACAGCTGATTTTCATATGGAAATCACAATAACATATTGGATTCACTGTGATTTCCAGTCCCCTCCTCCCCCCCCCATTGAATTGCATGTATCTCATAGATTGTGTTTATTTTTTCTTTTGGTACAAAGTTCTTATTTTTGCATGAAGCTCTTATGGAAAAAATACATTAAAAAAGCAAAACATAATGAATAGGACAGGATGAGTATTCATGGTTCTTCACATGACAGAGACACTTAATCATTTTTTGAAATCTGTTTGTTTGTGGAAGACTTATCACATGTTTAGAACAAAGTTTCCAACATTTCTGGCTGTGGGAATAGGCTTGGAAGGCATAGAAGACAAATGTGGTCCCAGATTGGTATCCTTTAAAATAACAAGAGCAGCCGTCAAATCAGCCTTTTCTCACATGCCGAAGCTGTCCTCCCTTTCCTCTAACTCAGAATCAGTCTATGCAGGAAAGCAGCTGCACTGTGGGCCCTCCCTGCAGCCTGCCATCCTGTCCGACATGTCCTATGTGCAAAGTTGGCATGCAGCTGGTGCCCTCCAACAGTTTTCACTTATATGAGACTGAAACAAAAATGCACAGGCTGCTGTGCATGAGAAAAAAACAAACAATAAAAACCAAAAACAGGGACTAAAAAATCAAGGTAAGAGTACATTTGAGGTGGATTTGGGCTGTGATGTTGCCTGAAATGAAGGCTTTTAGTTGTTGCTATGCAGGTAGAGAAGCATTTTGTCTCCCTGCTTGCAATGCTTTTTTATTCCAGTCTTGTTTATTTCGTCCTTGTAAATCTGAGTCTATTTTGCTTTTGCAGTAATTTTTTTGCCTTATAAAACTGAATAAATGATTTTATAAGTAAAGTAAATATTGAAGAAACTGGTTACAAATACAGAAATGTGATTGTGGAAGAGAATATATGTTCATTGTTGTAGTATCTCCTCAGGGATTACATAGCATTATAGTCTATATACATTATGTATGAAATTGCCTAGTTCTTTATGTAGATTCCTTATACATTTGAGCTACCATGTGAATACTTTGAATCTTTATTTTTTTTTGTAAATATATTTCTGTATCCTTCACAAAAATGGAGAAAAGATGCTCAGAATGTTGACAAGTAACTGTGCCACTGTAGTTGCTTCAATGTTAGCAATTTTTAACTGCTGGCAAATTTTGATTAAAAAAAAAAAGTTTTTATTTAAAGGTCATCAGTGTTAAAGACAATTTGTATATATTATGTGTCACCTTAATATTCTGTCTTATCATGTGGAATAAAGATGATTCACAAGGAACTGTCTAATCTAACATTAACTGGAACATTTCTTCAACAGTTTACTGGTAATAGCGCTTCCAGTCTACTCTTTATTCTTACAGACATGTAAAGTCCTTTGTAGGATCAAAATTTTCTTATTTTGCCAAAGATTCCTTTTAGAAATACAACCATGTGTAATCATTCCTGGTTCACTTTTCAATTTATGTATCGTGACTTACTTGATTCATCAGAAAGTCGTATATTTTCATCCCCATGATGTGCATTATGTTTTGTTTTTTTTTTTAATAGTTCTGCCTTAAGCAACATGTTGCTAGTACCAATTCTCGTTCACTTCAGTTTTCACAAAATCCCAGAAGAGCTGAGGTTGGCGGGGTGCTCAGATCCATGTGGCCCAGCCCCTGCTCCAGCAGGGACACCCAGAGCAGGTGCCCAGGACCATGTCCAGGTGGCTTCTGAAGATCTCCGAGGAGGAGACTCCACAGCCTCTCTCTTTTTGTAAAAATCATATTAATAAAATGTCTTTGCTGTCTCCCAAAATGTCTCCCTGTCTCCCAAAAAAGTTTGGGAGAATATTGCTCTTAAGTTATTGTTAGTTCAATGTTGTAGCACATTAAATTATTTTGCCGAGAGTCAGTGTCAGGCTGGCAGATCTGTTGTTTCTTTTTAAAATACTGGTGTAATGCTGGAGTCTAAGCAGAGCTCTGAAGCCCCCCCGAGTCAACATTAGTGGTCTGTATACAGCCTGAAGTTGTTCTGCTGCATCTCTTGGAGTCAAGCTATCTGCATTTGTTGATTTGAAAAATGATCTTACTTAGTAGTGGCTATTTGTCATCCTCCACGATTACTTTTAGGCTCTGATGTATTCTGTCGTATTTAATATTTGTTAGCTAAGAGTCAAAGCTCAGACTTTGAAGTCATGATCAGTAGATGTTTCCAGCATGAAATTTTAACTGTGCCTCTGAGCCTGTCCTTTCCTACTATGAAAGCTGATGGGATTTTGCCCAGAGCTCTTTCTGGTGCTTTGCACATTGCCCAAACCCGGGGAGGGACACACTTGGTGCACCCACGCAGGGTTTCCTCCTGAGGTTTGCTGTCTGCATCATAACATGTTTGCAAGCTCGTTCTCCAATGCACTGATCATAGTTTTCTCTTTGTTCCTAAACTCAGGACCAATGCAGCTTATGGCCAAAGATGGTGGAATGATGTGAATGCAAGGACCGAGGGTTTCAGAAAATAGTAATGAAATAAATAATATAATTACTTATTGTAATGTAGTGGGGTATGAGCACACTAGCACACTATTAGCAAGACTTTTTAAAAATTATTTTTAGTGGTATGCTGTAAATAAATGATGGAATTTCTGTAATTGAGTTTTTACTCTTGGGAAAAGGATAGTGAGATAGTCTGGAGGGAGACACGATACAAATCACAGTATGGAGGCTGAGGGTGGCTGCTGTAGTTTTTCCTTGCTTTTTTTTCCCCCTAACTTATTTTGGACCTTTGAAGTTCAGTGATGAATGCAAGATGGGAGCTAAAATTGGGCATATGCCAAACCAGACCTTGGAAGTGCAGAGAGAGACCCTGCTTATTGCTGGGACCTGTGGGAGGTAGTTAAAGACAGGAGATGTCTCTCTGCCAGAGCCAGAGAGATAGATCAGTAAAGTGACCTTTAAAGCAGAGTGATGAGTGACAAAAAAGTACATTTATCAGTCTCAAGGAAAATAATATTTGAAGCTGTCAAGACATGGTTTTATTGCAAGTTTAGATGAACTTTAGAAATATGACTAGATATAAAGGGCTGTATCCTAATGTAGTTGTGCAGAACAAATCTGCAAGATTCTGTTTTATCTGGAAATGTTTCAGCTGATCACAACACAGTTTACTGTCATTCTCCAAAAAGTGGTTGCAAATAGCATGGTTTTGAACTCACACGTGTTTTTTTTTTTTTTTTTTTTTTTTTGTTTGTTTTGATTTATAGTATTTATTGACGGTTTGTATTCATCTCACAGAACAAAAACTGTTTTTTTTTTTTTTGAGGGAGGTGGTCATTTGCTGTATTTCTAAAACATAGTTTAATCCCTTTTACTTCATTCTCCTTTTGTCTTTTTGATAGATTGAAACAATGCTTTTTCAGTTATACGTATCCTTCCAGTTTCATATTCAGTTCTTCTTCACCTATTATGCTACTTTTCATTAATTTAACTTTCTTTTTTTAAGTTGTCATTGTTTTTATGTTTATCTTCAGTTCGTGTCTTCTAAATGGAGAAGCTGTTGGTCACTGTTTGCTGTTCCCTCAGCTGACTTGATTCACAGCTGTGGTGTGCTGGAAGCTGACCCATTATCGCCCATCCTAGCTTGCGTTTAGGCGAGCTGCAAAACAAACTGTACTCCTCAGTCAATTTGACTTGCTTGAATAATACAACTATACAAGTTTATAAATGCTTCTCCAAAGCTGAATGTGAAAAAATAAACATTCAAAGCTCAATTCGCCGAATCTAACTTTGTTAGTGAGCACATATGCGTGTAGCTCCATCAGTTACTTACTGAACACTGATTATCAGCTGGCACAAAGCTGATCATTTGAAGCTCTGCTGGCCTAGTAGTTGCTGGTAAAGCTTGCGCTGAGAGCTGTCTGTGCAGCATAAACTAACATTGTATCCCTAATCTGTTTTTCTTTTTTTTTTTAACAGTCTTATGGTAAAGGGGCAAGAAGAAAAAATCGGTTTAAAGGATCAGATGGGAGTACATCTTCTGACACTACCTCTAATAGTTTTGTACGCCAGGTACGTGGTATTGTGGTATTCAGCTTTTATGTCTGGGGGACTTGGTGTTAATGTTCAAATAATTGTCTTTTATAAATTGTCAAATCAAAGAGTGATATTGTAGCCTGAGGATTAGTACAATTTTTCTGCCAAGACAGGGAAAAATATTTGGTTGCTATTGTTTTGAACTTGGCAGAAAAGTACTTTTTCATTTCTAATTTGTTTCCATGTATAGTAGTTTTCATTATTTTTTTCTGTAGTGCTATCAGGTATTTGAAGCTGGAAGAGGAGGTGGAGTCTCATGGCAGTGCCTAAAGTGCCAACATTTGAGAGAAAGCATCAAAACCTACTAGTCCTGGGGATTTCCTGCTTAAAATAGTGCTGTGCAAGGCGGTGCTCACTGCTATGCTTTCCTCCTGCTGTTATTTAAAGGCATGGTTTGGAGGGGAAACTCTTGGCAGCATTGTGCCCATGAAACAGGTGCTGAAAGGCCAGGAGAAGCTGAAGGGGTACTGCAGGGTTTCATAGACTGTTCCTCTGCACATGTATTTGGGACCCCTTCTTATATGGAGCCTCATGGGTGCTCTAGACATGGGTGGGTGCTTGACGAACAACTTGATTATCTTGATCAACAGTTTGCCTTTGACGAACAACAGAGGTAATGAAAAACATGGTGAAGGATCTTTGGCTACAGACCTAAGAGAGCGAGCTTCTATGTGCTTATGGTAGAGGACAACCCAGAGAGCATGAAGGGTGCTTAGATCTGTACCACAACCGCACCTATCCAAAGAGCCAGAAATACACTGTTTGTGTCCTGCAGATTTAAGCTGTGGCATTACAAATGTAGACTTGTCAGCTTTTTTTTTTTTTGAAGGATTTCTGGAACTCAGGAGGTTTAATTGCAGAGGTTTTGGTTTTACTATAAAGAAACACCCAACCTTCCTCTAATCCATCTTGTCTTGCACGTATCTCAGTTTCAAATCGCTCATTGACTCCATTGCTGTTGCATTAGTTCAGTATGCATCCTCTGTTTGCAAAAAGTGTTCTGCTTTGTCCTGTTGTGATCATGCTAGCAGGCTTTGTGATAGGCCATGGATTTGAAAGAGAGAGGCCTGTTGAATATAGGTGTGAAATATTACTTGATCATGAGAGTTGGTCAGTGGCAGTGAAGAAGATGAAAATGATCTGGATCAATAAATCGCTGATTTATGGCATTTTGTTCCGTTAAAAAAAATACTCTGAAAAAGACAAAGTAGTGTTTGGGAGTTGCAACAGATCTCCTTGTCCCAAGAATTCTTTGTGAAGTGTCTGTTTTGCTGTTTTTCTTAGCTCCTCGTGGATGTTGAGCTCAGCTTGGAACATTTTTAGCAGAGTAAGAGTGTTTATTTTACACCAGCTACGCACAACTCTTTGACTTTCTTGTTTACTTAAATGAGGCCTGAAATTACTCTTAAGTATCTCTTCTTGCTATCATTTGTAGGAGCAGGGCAAGGAGGATGGATCTTCAAACTCCACATAGATGTTGAGTTGAATTACCATAGTCAGTGGAGATCTGTCTGATTATAGCATGTGGGGAATGATTCATGAAAATCTTGAAAAACAGACTTATAAATCAGTGTAGGTGAGATATAGTCTAAAGGAGTCTGTATAATTTCTGGGGCTGTGAAGGGAACACAAACCACAGATACCTCAAGTGCAGATTTTTACAAAGAGTTTTATATCATTCTCTAAATCCAGTTTTAGTAGTTACACAAGTGATACAATAAAAATGACTGAACAGGGGAGTGGGAATTGAGCTGCAGGGAAAAATCAGAGATTTAAGAGATTGCTGAAGGAAACTCAGTTTTGATATGAAATTGCCAATGAATATAGTGAAGGGATTTTAATGGATAAATATGTTATGTAGTGTTGTCCAGAACTAAAAATAAAAGATAAAAATCACACAACATTCCTAGCAAATCATGTACAGGTAGAGTTTGAGTTGTACCAGATGCATAAAAGTGCATCTTCACAGTTGGTGCTAGGAGATTTATTTCAGACCTTAGACTGCATCTTCAGCAGGCTTACCTGTCCTGGTCTTCCTGGGACTGCTTACTCTCTTATGCTAATGAAGATACGCCCCATACATTAAGCAGAGTGGATGCAGTTGTTTTCTGCTGGTTCAGCTGCTCTACCCTTCCCTCGCTGCTGCATACTGCCTTCTCTTCATCTATCTCCTGGAGAGTATTTATTGTATATAAATGAACTTAATTGTTCTGCCATAACCATTTATTTACAAGAGAAAAAATGAGTCCAAGACTTTGAAGTGGATGAGTGCAGCAGATAAGTAGAATAGACAAATTAATCCAAAACCAGTAGAACATAGGATCTATTTTTTTTATTATTACCTCAAAACTGGAAAGTCAGTTTTGGCTTGGTGAGCTGTTTTAGGTTTGTTGGCAGTAATTGTGATCTGCACATGAGATGCATGCAACCTGACTTCTTTCATCTCACTTCCTTTCACATTTACTTTTGAATTTATCCTGCAATTTTCATATGCACCTCTACAAATACTCCCATCTATGTGCAAGGGTGATTCCTGGAGTTGTCCTGAGCATTTATTGCTGAAATCTGACTATAAACAAGAAAGGATGTCTGTTAAGTCATTTTGAGTCATCTGCAGCTGACCTGGCCTTTCACTGGGTGAGCTGGGAAAGGTGAGCAGGTTCTTGCTGCAAGCACTGCTGGGAAGTGGTGCTGGGTAAGAGAAAATATGTCTAGTCCTGAAATATGCATAAGAGCAATTGTACTGGAGATACTGTGCAAGAGCAAGTTGGAAACAGGATTCAGTCATTTCAATCCACGGAGGCACTGGCCATTTGAGCTAAAGCTACTGTAGGAGTAGGCATTCGGTGTCTATTGCATTGACAAAACTCTATTGTGTTTGTGTTTTATTGTTTCCTTAAGGACACATGCACCTCTGGCTCTGGTATGTTCCTGACATGTTTCCTGCACTCCATACCAAGTGCTACAGTAGTAAGAACAGTGCCAACTTAGTTTTATTTGAATGAGTGAGAACAAAGCAATATTTTATTCAAATTGCTTGAAAATTGCTGCTGTTGTATAAGGAGGATGAAATGCACTCTGCACGACCCTGTGCACAATGATCTTTTCCATTGAAATTTGTTTTTCAGAGTAATGAAAAAGAGCAGAGCCATTTATCCAGTGTTGTTACCGGTACATATAAAGGAAGCATTAAGCTGAAGCAAGAGCAATTTTATACATACATATAAAATAAAAATTTTAAAGCAGTTCTTTTCAGTGCAGTTAAATCTCATCTGTACTATGAACTTTATCTGTTGATATGGATTTTTATTTCTGTTTTTTGCTTATGATTCTGAAAACCTATAAGGTTTTAGGAGGATGCTTAGGATCATATTCCTATCTGTTGGGGATTTTTGTTTTTTTTTTTATTATTGTTGTTTCATTTTGTCTCCAGAGTATTATTTATGATATTGGAGCATTAAAAAATAACAGCTTGGACTTTCTTTCATTTGTGAGCAGCTCCTTCTTAACTTTTCAACAGCTGGAGAAGGAAGAATTTTTTTTTCTTATGTTATGAATTCATATTAGCAATTAAGCAGTGTATTCGGGAAGGAGAAACACCATGTTTTAATTGACTTCTAGCTAACTTTAATCAGTTGTCTTTAGGGAGATAAAGAACATTGTGTTTTCACCGTCTTTTCTGAGGTTTGGAGTGATAAGCAGCTTGTTCTTGGGGTTAGCTAGGAAAGACTGAATTGGATCTGATCTGTACTTGCTGCCATTTTGACTGATGCATGGTAATGATTTTGTTCCCAAGGGTTTTTTTCAAAATACCCATCAAACAAAATATTTTGCAGGCAACACTGTGGCACTTCCCAGCAACATTATTTTAAGCAATTGCATGTTCTGACAGCGTTACATATTTTGTACTTGCACTTCTGGACCTGCCTTTGTCAAGGTTTTATTTTAAATCCTAATGATTAATCACAGGAGCAGTCTAAGTTGTTGGGATTTCTGTGTATCGCAAAGACAGATTAGGTTGTGAAATAGACTGTGTGCTACAGACATGCTTACTGAAATATTTAAGGTTTTATAAATCTGTGGGTTTTTTTTCTGCCTCTAAATGTTGGCTTGATGCCTGTTACACTGTGTTCACTCAAAAACACAGCTATAAATAATTATGTAGGGAATTCATTATTCTTCTACTTTCCTCTAAGGACATTTGCCTAGCTGTGTAATTACCTATTGAATTTTATGAATGGTAAAACTAAGATTTGCACTAAAAATCTATTTGAAAATATTGACTTAGTTTTGTTCACAAACAAGCCTCTTAGCCTCGAATTTACCAGAGAACTGGGCCGTGTCAGAAAGCTATTCTTGTACTTTTGATTTTCTTCAAGATACAGAGCTTAGCTGTGATTTACCTTTTTGTGAGGAGACAAACTGCTGTGTGCTGATCCTACACGCAGGTTTCTAGTCTGTGCACTTGCAGGCTGAGCCACAGAGGTCGGTTGCGCAGCATGAGAACAAACACTGGCTTTGGTCTAAGTACACAGCATTAACGTCTTTTGCTAAAAGCTGCCTATGCTTTCTCTGATGGGCCTGTTCTGGCTTCTTAAAGACTCGGTGTAAACAAGATTGTGGCCAGCCAAATTATCTACATTAAAAAAAAAAAAAAAGCTTTTTTTATAATTAAATATATTCTTACAGTCTTTGTGTCCTTCTGATTATGAGATGTGTTTGGCTTGCAGAGGAAAAAAAAAAAAAAAGCTTTTCAGGTTTGCGTTTAACTTATAAATATAATAAAACAATCTGTGTCTATTTTCTGGAGGTATTTTTCAAACACTGATTGTAATACAGAAAATATATATCTAACATTCTGCTTAATTTTACCATCTTTTATTTATGAAGCTAATGCCTGGACATATTTTCTTAGATTCTTCTTGTCTTTGTTCTAATTTGTACTGACTTCATTGAAAGCAATGCCAGCGATGTCT